TCCTGGGCCTTGCTTTTCTTCCTCTTCTGGCAAACATCATCCATTTCTGTACTCTGAACTCCATGAAACCCAGCTCCCCTGTTTTGAACCAGTTATTCTGGTTCCTATTCTCTATGAACCAAGTAAACAGGCAGACCCAACCCCCAACCCTTTCACAAAGCCTGTATTCACAGTAGAGACAACAGCCCCAAAGGACCCCACATCACTCTGCCAAATACAAAACAGAAATGGCAAAATTACAAAAGCATTCCCTTCAAGTAAACAAACAGTAGCCATCAATCTTTTTTATGGATGCCCAGAGCCCTCAAATGTTCTCGAAATAACAATTATAAAAAACTGTTTTGTGACAAGAATGTTCTGAAACTACAGAGGGGCAATGGTTGTGAGACATGGTAACTGTACTAAATGACAATTTTCACTTGAAAGTGGCTAACTGTGTTACATGAATTTTGCCTAAAATAAAATAATTTTTTAAAAGGATGATTTTGAAACAATTTGGAAAGTAAGTTATGTCAGAAACATGGCTTTCTTCATGAGACAGTTCACCATGTTTTTTTATTTCACTTATTTTAGAAATATCAGGGCTAAGTATCACCTAAGAAATGGAAGAATGTTTTATATCTTATGCTTCATAATCTTTTTCTTTCACCTATATAAAGGTTGAGATTAAACAATGCTTGCTTCAATTCTTTTTTTTAATTTATGTATTTATTATGTATACAGTGTTCTGTCTGCATGTATTTCTATCTGCATGTATACCTGCAGACCAGAAGAGGGTGCCAGATCTCATTATAGATGGTTATGAGCCACCATGTGGTTTCTGGGAATTGAACTCAGGACCTCTGGAAGAACAAGCAGTGCTCTTAACCACTGAGCCATCTCTCCAGCCTGTTTGCTTCAATTCTCTAAAAAGGCATTTCCTTCCAAAAGGCTCACTTCTGGAATCCTAAAACCTTTATGCGTGCCCTTCTGATTACGTATGTTTCTGGGGTACAACTGGGCTGAAGTGACGATGACCGGACAGACAGCTGCTCTCCAGGCCTGTGCTGGCTGTCTGGCCTCCATCCTCACAAAGCTCAAGGTCTCATGTCAGGCAAGCAAGGATGCTCACGGGCCCCTGGACACTTGCTCAGACACTGTCCCTGGCTCCCCTCCCAGTGTCTACGGTTGCTCTGCCATCTCCATGCCTGACCTCACCCTTTGCATTCTTTCAAGCTCCTGGGGCAAGGCAGCAGCAGCAGCATTGACTGTACATCAGTCCTGAACTGGTCTTCATTTACCTGGAGTAGGTGCTTCTATGGAAGCCTCAAGGGGCCTAAGTGAGTAGAGAAAGACTCCTTGGGTAAGAAAGGCCCAAGGAGCTTCTGTGTCCCCACAACTCATGCTCTGCTATGGCCCGAACATGGCCCCTCTCTCCAGTTCATGTGTTAGGAAATCAATGCTAGTGTGGCAGGGGGGATCTCAGAAGTAAAGACGGAGGAAGATGGAATCTGTTCTCATGAAAGACGTAGTAGCACAAATCTCAGGCACAGATTCCCGACAACCTTCCTGGTTGTCTCTCCACTCCCTACGGGACACCTTCTGCTGGGCTGGGACCCATGAAGACACTCTCTGGTCCCTGCTCTTAGGCTTCCCAGACTACTGAACTGTGAGCCAAGTCTCTGGTTCTTATCAACTTCCTGGGCCATGGTAGTCTGTTAAAGCAGAAGGCAGACTAAGATTCTCCATGCTATTGACAAGTCATGGCCACCAATGGTCTTCCACTACTTATGACACTACCCCTTCCTTGGCTGTTTGTGCTACAGTTTTCGTGTACAACCTCACTAATTCTGCTTCAGGGCTAAGTCAGGCACCTGAGCTACCATGCTCGTAAGTGCTCACAGGAAGAACATGCAGCAGGAGTCACTTACTGCGCTGTTCTAAAACAGATAAACATTGGAGTGCCAGGAACCTCCCTGGCCCCACCCAGGTAGAAAGTGTCAGAGCTAGGGTGTGTGTGCAGCTTGCTTCTGAAGGGAGATGACTAACAGGACAGGTGCCATCCAACAATACCTGCCTCAGCTACCTAATCCTCTGTGTTCACTGAGAAACACTCCAAAGGCTGGATGGGCATTCCTAAGAGAGGAACAGCATGGTGGCAGAGCCTTCTAGAACCTGAAAATGCTCGGACATATCTAGATGGAAAGTGAAAAAAATGTTTGCAGGTGTGATCATTTCTGCTGTATGGTATAAGAGAGAAATCCAAGGTAAGTGAAGAGTTGACCTGTAAGAGCTTCCAAATCCTGTGGGAGAACTGCCTTGGCAGACTGAGAAAACCCAGGTCTAACAGCTGGCTCTTAGGTACCATCAGGTGTTGGCAGGCTACTCTGTTGGCCATTGACCCCCCCTCTTTCACTTATTCAGGCTTTTATAAATGAGGTTTCTTCTTCTTTTTTTATTATGTATATGTGGGTATGTCTGAGTGCATATATGTGTACCATGTGTGTGCAGGAGTCCATGGAGTTCAGAAGAAGCCATCATAGTCTCTAGAACTGTAGTCATATGTGGTTGCGAGCTACCTTGGGAGTACTGAGAACAGAACACAGTCCTCTGCAAGAGCAATCAGGGCTCTTAAGCCATGAACCACTTCTCTAGCTCAAAATAGGCTTCTTCAGTTTATTTAACTACTAGCAGATCCCAAGTATGCTCTGGTTTGCTTTCTGACTACTGTCCAACTGTTTACTGGAGTGTGGCTTGTTTCTGGGGTGGCTGTGTGCAGCATGATTATAGCAGGGAGCCGGCTGGTTCTGGGGACATCTGACTCAGGAACCTTAATGTTAAACTAAGCATGGGAGGGCCTGAAGAGACACAGGGGAAGTGTGAGCCTTGGGCACAGGAAATGACTGCCCTCAGAGCCAACCCAGGTTGGAGACTTGTCCAAAGACTCTCCCTGTGCTGCCTCTGAGTCTTCTTTTCTGCAAAGCCAGACCTTCATCCTTGGCCTTCCACATCTATTCTTGCTTTTAGCAGTAATTCTGCTCAGTGATCCCACTTCTAATGTTCAACTACATTAGGTATCTGAACAAGCTTCTCATCTCTCAGCTTCAATGTCTAAGCTCCAGGTCTTGGCCTTCCTTTAGCAGGAATCCAGTTAGACTACTTCAGCAAGAAGCCCCACACCTGGGTCTCCTTCAGTAATTTTCCATCCCCCCTACCCTCCCACTCCACTCTGCTCCGTGGAGATACAACCCAGCTGACATTGTGGCATTGGGGCTGAGCTCAGCAACGTCTCTGGCTGTAATAGTAACTCATGCAATCTACTCTGCTCATTGCCCCAAACTAGTGCGCAGTGGTGTCCATTGGACATCTGCCAAGGGGCAGGATTTTTAAGTACAAGTAAATGAAAACTGTTTATTCCCAAGAAATGCCGATAATAACCATGCATGGGGGGGTCGGGTCGCTCACTTGCCCTTCCCAGAGTAGAGAAGATGCTACATCAAGAATCTAATTCACAGAGAAAGGTGACTTTAAAATGTACATGGGGTCTGTTGAGGGTGGCAAGGGGCTGGCTCAATAGGATATAGACAGTTTTCCGAGTTATCACAGTCTGACCCTGGAGACCACAGCCTCAAGCGGCTGGTCCCCCATGGCACTGACTAAGCACATTGTGTCCGTAGTGGCCACTGCTAATCTCTAAGCAGATCATTCATGACTCTACCACAGCAGATCGTGATAGAAAGAACCTTTATTCAGACCATGAGTTTTGTATTCCACATCAAGTCCGTCGATGGACACAGAAGAAAGCTGACATCTGCGGTGATGAACAGGGCAGTGGGACATTTTGTTTCTCACCACTGAGATGCCATCTAGGAGTAGACTCTTTTGATCTGGAGCTTGTGTTACACAAGTCAGTTTTTAAAATGACTGTGCCGTGTCCTGTTGGCCAAAGAGAAGCTTGAAGACCAAGATGCTTGAGTGCAGCCTCAAGGAGAGTAGCAGCCTGGGGGTATTCTTTGAGGGACAGGTGGGTGAACACTCAGAAAACAAAATGGAAGCCAAGGTCCTAGGAGAGGACCTTTGTGGCCACTCCGACTTCAAATTCCCCCAGGAAATGCAGACAGAGTAACCTTAGGGCCAAAGGACTCTTCTTCAACTTCTTGCTGCTAACCAAAGACATTCCCAGTCTGGGGAGATGGGCTGTCATGAGTCAGGCACTAAGGAAGAACTGGCTCAGGTTAGGATGTTCCTTTGGACCTTGGATGGACTGAGATGCTTTTGGAAACTATCCAGATAAGCCAGGGGTTAGGACTCAAGGACAATGAGATTACCCACATTTTCCAGGAATAGCAAATAGCAAACTTATATTATGAAAATGAAATGACCAAAAGAATATATGTGGGGCTTCTCTCTACCTTTTCACGCTTGGCCCATCCTGGGATCCTAAGAAACATGGGCAATGTCTACCGGGAAGGAACACTGAGAAACTCACTGGACTGTTAGCTGCCTGCAGTGCAAAATACTGAAGGTCTCCAGGCGTCATTGTAGAGAACAAGAGAAAGGACCAAGTATTTAGGGACAGGAAGACTAGGTGAGCAGCTGGGTCACAGCATGAAGAGATGACCATGTGGTGGGGTGCATGCAGATGCCCTGCCCTTTGCTGGAACCCATTTTCTTAGTGAGTGGATAGCATTCCTCCCTCAAAGCCCTTGCTCAGTAGGGATTCAATAAGGATGCTAAGCACATATGCTGAGCTGACCACAGGTCCTACTGAATTGAGCATAAACTGCCACATATGCTACTATCACACTATTCTTACAAATGCTGGGAAGACCTTCAGTGTTTTATTGCTACTCAACTCCCAATGGGTGGATTTACAGCCACATCCCAAACCCTAGCAAGACATATCCTTGCCCAAGGTTTTGGAGATGTGGCCCAAATGGAAATTTTTCTGCATCAGAGAATGCCTTGGTAGAAACAGCAACCATGCAAATATCATGGCTGCCATAGCCAAGGGTTCTTACCACGTCCTCCTTTGCGCAAACTGGCTGGGCTGCTCAGCTGGGGCTCGGGTGGGCTGAACGGAGGGTAGCGTGGGGATGTTTTCACTAGAAAAGAAAGTAGGGAAAAGGTTATTGTTACTTCTCACTGTTGCAGAATACTTATTTACACGGCAAAGATGTGTCTCTGCCTAAGACACCTTCTGATTGGTTTAATAAAGAGCTAAGTGGCCAACATGCTAGGCAAGAGAGAATAGACAGGACTTCCAGGCAGGGAGAGAGAAACTGGGAGAAAGAATCTAGGTGTGCGATTTCACCAGCAGACTCGGAGCAAATTGGATGTACTGTATAAGAAGAGGTAACCCAGCCACGTGGCAGAACACAGGTTTTAAAAACCTGTGTTTTTATGGGTTAATTAAGTTATAAGAGCTAGTTGGGGAAAAGCCTAAGCAAAGGCCAAGGTTTCATAATTAATAATAAGTCTTTGGGTCATTATTTGTCTGTCTGGCAGTCCAAAGATAGTCCAACAAGAAAGCTTGCTACATCCCACCTTGTGGTACCAAGTTGCACCAAACTAGTTTTTCTTCTTTCTTACCATACGGAGTTTCTGGTGACACAGGGAATGCTGGCGTCAGACACATAGACTCCTTGCTGTTTGAAATCCTGCCATCGATCATATCGAGGTCAGGGGGATATGCAGTGATCATCGTCTGAAATCAGCATAGAGAGAGAAGAGAAAAATGAGGAATCACATAAAGGTGCCTTCCACGTAGACATGGCCCCTCAAGATGGTCCACTGACCTCTGAGAGCGGCTCAAGGGGGAAGAAACCGGCCTCTTACCACTCACTGTTACCCAAGCTGGAGCACAGAGAGAAGGGACTTATGGGCCATCATCTTAATACAGTGCTGGAGAGCCAGGAGCGAAGGTGATGGAGGCTTTGATACAAGGTAAGTAAGCATCCCACCACTGAGCACGAAAGAGCACCAAGGAATCCTTAACTACATCACTGTTACAGATAAGTGAAAACACACAGAAAGTCAAACACACAACACGGAATGAACTTTAAGAGAAATGTTCCATATATCAATAATGCATGTTTGTAAGAGTTACGGAGAAGGCTCCAATTTTTCAACTTGAGAATCAAGTGTATAATTAGAGTTAACTATCTGGGGACGGTGGCCTGTCCAACTCCAGTTCTGACTCGAAGCCTTGAAGACATCTCCCAGGCAGGACCTCCCTCAGGGTCATCATCTGCCATGGAGGACTTGGAGCCCTGTGTGCAGGCTACAAGTCTGCATTTGTCACCGTCTATGCCGTCCAGCTGCAGGGTCCTGCTGGGTCCAGGGCCATGCTTCCTAACCCTCACAACCCACCTGTAGGCTTTGCATCTCACACTCATTCTACAGGTCAGAGCACTGAGGTTTCAATGGTCCATGTAAGGCACCCCCTGTATAGCCATCGATGGGGAGTGTGCGGACCCCACACAGGCCCTCTGACCTAGGCTCCCAATCAGAACTCCTGTCTGTCACTGAAGAAACCATGTCAAGGACAGAAAGGTTACAGTGACGGGTGACCTTATGCAAGGCATAGTCATTGCCCTAAGCCCAAGGACAGGAAAGTGGGGTTGAGTAGAGGCGGGGGCAGGGCCAGGACCTACCTCTTTGATGTCTGCAGGAGAGGAAAAGGGTCCCAGACTTGGGGCCGGGTCCACACTGGCCTTTCCCCAGCCACACTTAGAGAAGGACACCTGGCTCCCGGCATCATTGTCATACTGCCCGAGGCTCAGCTTCCGGAGCCGTCCCCCGATGGACTCATCACCTGAGGAGCCGGTAAGGAGAAAAATAAATGGGCTTCTGAGCAGGATCCTCATCGCACAGTGTAGAGACCGTTATAAAGCCCATCTTCAACTATTTCTGGATAACGCCATCACTAGTCAGTCACTCCAGACAGACGCAAGGGCTGCTACAGGCAGGCCACAAGCACAGGGGCCACCTAGGATGCCCAGAGACAAACCAGAGTACTCCATCCAGAAAAGGCCTTGGGGTACAGGCAAGCCTGGGCACTAGGATTCAGTGCTAGGACAGGAGACTGGCTGAGCTTGACTTGAGAGAGGGCCAGTTAAGATCCAGCCCCCAGGCCTGGTATGAGCACTACCAGAGTATGCACCTGCAGTGACCCAGGCATTTGGTTCTCCCATGACAAACGGAACCTTCACACGGAGGGGAAAACCCCAAACCAGATACTAAGAGTGAACATTCAATACCCCAATGTCACTCTCTGCCAGAAACTCCACAGGCATTTACTCCTGACCCAGATGCCCATGATCAAACCGATACTCTTCTTGTTAGGGAGAAAAGTATGTCTGGGCGAGAGTCTGCTTTTTAAAATTTCTTTCAGGGAATTCTCAAAATTGGGCAATAAGGGAAAACTGCAGCAGCCTATAAAAGTGATAACGTTACAAGTCACCATGTAGTCTTTTCACACCAAACCAGGCTTTGCTGGCAGTCTAGGCATAAGCTAAAAACGCAGAACCCCTAAGTATGGTGGTACATGCTTCTGATTCCATGAGACAGGACCACTGTCAGTTCAACGTCAGCCTGGACTAGGTGCTGAGACCCTCTCTCAAAACGGTAAACAGACAGGGCTGGAGAGGAGGCTCAGATGATAGATTGCTTGCTGCATGGGGAAGAGACTTCACACAAGGCTGCCCAGATTCGGCCTCAGGGACACAGGTGGCCCTCCCATCTCTTAAACGTGTTCGGTCCTGGGACAGAGAAGTCTGAAAGAGCGGGAAGAACAAGGTCCAGTGAGAGAGCCTTGTCACATCGCAGCAGCCCTGCCCCTGCCCCGGCAACGGTGACAAAGAAGACATTATCAGAAAGAGACCACTGTGTGTGTACTCATGGTGACTGGTGACCACGCTGGACAGGGGCGCTCGTGTAGAAAAGTCCACAGTCCCTCCATCACAGTGAGCAGCAGAGGAGTTTCAGGCCTGGGGGTTTGCTCCGCACCACACAGCAGATCAGTCAACAGCCGTGTATTAATGATACGGGCGCAATGGCAGATGCTTTAAGGTCCAAAGAAAAAAGAAACAGTATCAAAATAGTCAAAAGCCTATCTCTGGGATGCGGAATTCCAGGCAAGGGCTCCCATTTTCTATAAATGTCTCCTTAAAAAAAAACAAACAAACAAAAAAAAAAAACTTTCAAGCTATAATTATTTTTATTTATTTTTTTGAATTATAGCATAATTACATCTTTTTCCCCTTCCCTTTCCTCCCTCCAAACCCTTCCATGTACCGCACACCTTGCTGCCATTCAAATTCCTGGCCTCTCTTTTCTTTAATTACACACACACACACACACACACACACACACACACAGAGGTATGTGAATATACATATATTCCTTAATACATAAAAACAACCTGCTTAGTCTGTATAATATTACTTATATTTATATCAACCATTTGTTGATAACCATTTATTGTTCGATAACCATTTAGTATGCTCTTCCCTGGAGACTATTTCTCCTGCCCTCAGCAATCCTCAGCTGCCTGAAGTTCTCTGTGCATGGCTGAGGCCTCCTGCTCTTTCCCCCATCCACATTAACACATCTATTGGTATCATCTCGGCTGGGTCCTGTTTAGGCGTGTTGGCAATACTTCATGGGTGTAGCTTCTCTGAAATTTCTAGGAGACACAATTTCACAGCAAAGTTCCTGTCCCTTTGACTCTATCTTCTAAAGTTTCACTAAGAACATTTTTACTTTCTAAAATTAAGGAAGAGACTTAGATTTTCTTTGGGAGAAACCAAACTGCTTCCTTTTTCTCTCCTCTGCAGGGCTCTGTATGGATGGCCTCTGCTGGTTCTCACATCTGTATGGATGGCCTCTGCTGGTTCTCACCTCTGCAGGGCTCTGTATGGATGGCCTCTGCTGG